TCAATAACCTCAGTGTTGCAATCCAGTTGCTGACATCAAACGCCTCCCAGGGTGTCAGTGTGCACGGGCAGCCAATACCGCTCCGCCTGCAGCACCCCACCCCGGATCAAAGACCTCTGCACGAGAGGGCCTTGGCTCTGGGGTATCCATCTACGCACACGGCACAGACCCTCACACCTGGGCCTGCAGAATGCGGCCGAGGAGGGAGGGCCCGTCTTCCCACCCGTGGTCCCGCTGGCCCAGCTAACATGGGTTTAGGGCAGCACAGCTCCAGCCCCGCCTGCAGGAGCAGGAGCAGCCTCCGCAGGCTCCCAGGGAAGCAGAGCTCGAGCTCTCGCTGTGGGGGGCTGCATGCACATCACTAACGCTGCTGAGTGGGGGCCGCAGAGTGAGGGGAGCATGGCAGAGGGCGGAGAGGGAGAGAGACGCCGTTCCCAGGAGGACCATGGTTGGAACCGGAGCCGATGCTGACTCAGGGGCGCAATTCTCTAGTCTCAGTTCTAGAAACCTGATTCTAGATGAATGAGGATAAGGGAAAGCTTCGCTGTAGACTCGTAGACAGAGCACACTGCATTCTGTGCGGAGCCCAGGCGGCACTGCTCTGTGATGATGGTGTCCTGGCTTCCTTCAGCTCCCCAGGCAGGAGACTGGTCTCCTAGACCCTGAGGCCTGGCGGAATGCAGCCTGAAAGACGACTCGCTGGCTTTTTTTTTTTTCTTTGCCACAGGGCGCGTGTGCTCGCTCACTGGCTTACTTGATGACAGGTGATATGGAACCTATGATGTGATTCATGGCTCCGTGACTCACGGGCTTCCTGGTTTCCTAATTCTCAAGGAAATACCTCCCAGCTCAGGAGTTTGTCTTCTCCCAAGTGGGTTTAGCAGTGTGTGGAGGAAAGAGAACAGGAGCGGAGGGCCAGGAGCTGGGGGAGGCCGGCACCATAGACCCGTCGGTGTTTTCACTGAGTTCAGGCTTGCAGGGCAGTGCTCACGTCCACGCCTGGGGCCCGGGGACACAGGAGATGCGAGGCTCGGGCAGCTGCTGCTCACTTCACGGCTCCAGGGCAGCAGCGGCCTGGGCAGAGCTCAGCAGATGACCCGGAGGCCATGCCCAGCAGCCAAGAGCCCCAGTCCCCAAGGTGGCCCTGGACCCACCTGAGAGCCCCCTCTGTGACACTGCGGTGAAGCCCTGCGGAACTCCATAGTGCTGTCCCACCTCCTCACTGCTGTGGCTGGGCCTCTCTGGCTCCCATTAGGCTGCCATCTCATTTCCTGGAAGTTATCTTCCATTATGGTAAACACAGGACATAAAACTGGCCAGGTGACCGAAAGCCGTCTGCAAGCGCGCAGTTCCGGCGCACCGAGGGCCCTGGCAGCGAGCTGCCCTATCCAGGACGCCGACCCTCCCGGCCTGGCCCCGTCTAAGCTGTCGCTCTCCACACCTGTGTCAGCGGCTGCTTTGGGGGTCAATTTCAATGCACCCTTAGCTCGCCATCGCCCATTTAATTAAAATTAGATGTCTTAACGTGAATGGAAGAAACTTTGCAAAAACCACTGCCCTTCCTATGCCAGTGCCAGACGTGACCCGCCGTGCCCCAGACGTGCTGTGACGAAGCTGAGAGGAAGCAGGGATTGATCTGTGGGCACAAAGACACCCTCCAGCCTGGCTTTGCTGCCTCACCTGGACCCTTGGGCCTCTCGACCTGTCTCCCTAACACTTTGTAGCTGGGGCCCAGCTTACAGCCCCCACGAGGACTCCCGTGGTCAGAACACGGACGAGAGGCAGAGGGAGGCGCTGTGAAGCCGGCCTCTGAACATGCGGGTGATCCCAAACTGCCTCTGAAACTGCTGTGCATGGCGAGAAGCGTTTGAAACAGAATGTTGAAATAAGACCAGAGAACCAGCTCGCATTCTTGCAGCCAGTACATCGCATCCTTGAACCAGGGCTTTGACTTCACCAGGCAAGTGGTGACAGTGTGGCTGGGGCTCAGGGAACAAACGAGCAGCCTGCAAGCCGAGGGATAATAAGCAAGGCCCCAAGAAAGCGCTCGGCTCCTGACAGCAAAGCGGGAGGGCCCTCTTCACTGTAGGCCGTGGGGACTCCTGGGGACGCCGCAGCGGAGGAGCTGCCTTTGAGGTGTGTGGCACAAAACAGAAGTCGTGTCCTGCAAAGACCTCAGCTTTCCTCTCCAGGTGGCCTGTAGCGAGCAGGCTGCCCAGCCTGGGTTTCTCCCGCAGAGCCGGTGTGCAGCCTACCCACCCTATTTCGGGCGGCTTTTGAATTAACCGCAGTAACCCAGCCCGCTGCCCTCTCCCTGGGCAGACAGCCTCACCTCTGACTTGACATGACCAAGCCGGCGGGCACGTGAGCCTCTCAGTCTCTCTACCCCTGCTCTGCTGTTCTTCACGGCTCCCAGCCTTGTCAGGGCTTTTTGGTCTGAGCAGGGTGGCAACTCAGCCCGTCCCTCCCAAGGCACGGTGTTCTCTCAGTAACCCCGTCTTTCTTAAGCCTTCAGACCTCTCTTTCCACTGGTTCCTAAATCTCAGATTTCCCCAGACTTACAGAGACCCGGAGCAGCTACACAGGCGCTGGGAAGACAGCCTGGTAGAACCCGTGCTCGGGGAGACGGACCCCTCAGGACGGCCGGGGCTGCGTCCGGAGCTCCCTGAGTGGGCCAGGCATGCACGTGCCTGTGACCGGGACTGGCGAGGGCTGGGGCAGGTTGTGTCTTCGAGACCCTGTCGGAGGCGATTTCTCTCTTTCTCTCTATTCTCTCACTCATAGAAGAAAGAAAGAAACAAATTTAAAAAGAAAAATTTTGTGAGGGCTCCTTTTCTTGAAGAGACTTTTCAAAACCTTCCTCTCGTGTGTGAGGAAGAGGCCAATTGTTAGTGTGACGTAGGCTGGCCATTGGGGAAGGAGCACAGGCCCCGCTTGTCCCCAGAGTGAGTGCCCCAGCCCCGTCCTCATATGTGATAACTTCCCGCCAGCAGCACGGATGTGACAAGTCTCCCTAAGGACAGCCAGCCTTCCACGGCGTGAGAAAGACAAAAGCGTGGGCAGTCCCAACCTTCAGCATGCGGTGCACCAGCGGAGCCTCCGAAATCCGGTTCTAATGCCCTGCTCTGGCTGGGGCCCAGACTCTGCATTCCTAGCAGCCCCTTGAGCAGTTCCCCCCGCAGACCCAGCCCCGCACTGCGGCAGCCAGGGTGGGCTCCACGTCGAACCTCTCCCCTGATTTCATTAGGAGCATTGAGGCGTTTCCACGTGGTTCCATTAGGTCCTTGATTGTAGACTCTTGGTATGGAGAGAGGCGACATTCCAGAACCAGGTTCATGTTCTTAACTATCGCTCTGTGGGGACAAATCACTGTGCCACAGTGAATTCCTGCTTGGTTCTCCTACTAGCTCAGCTGCGGCCTGAACGACAGCACCCTGACCAGTAAACAGCTGCTTGCCTTGACGGGGGCCATGAATGCCAACAGGCATGTCCGATGTTCAGGTCAGTCCGGGAGCACGGGCCCTCCCGTCTGCCCCAGCACTGTGCTGTGGTGGCTATGCTCCGTGCTGCAGCTGGGCCTTGCACTTTGATTCTCATTCATTCACCCAGGGAGGTTACCGTCACGGGGCATCTTACGGAATGACCTGTGACCGCCTACGATTGGCTCTAGAAACTATTCTCGATGGTCAATATTGTATCCTGGCTTGCACTGTCAGTTTATTTAAGCACTTCTGTCTCCTTAGTGTTCCTCGAACAGCTAAGCATTTGTATCATGGGCTTAGACAGGCTCTGGCAGAGGGGATGGAATTCTGGGTTTGGCGTAGAATCTGCTCCTTTTCCTCTTAGCGGAGCAGGAAACTGGGAAGGACAGTAGGGTCTGTCTTTGCCCAGGCATTCCCTCAGCCATCTTCAGTCCCTCCTTCCTACTAGAATATTCTACATGTCCAGCATCAAGGAAGTGTGTGTACGGAGCTCAGCAAACTCTGCAAATCAGAGGGAATTCTCTACTCCTCTCGGCCAGCACCACGTTATAGCCAGAAGGAGACAGCTGCAGTTGGTCAACGGTTGGGAAAGTTCTGGGACCTTACGCTTTGTCGCTTGTCTGCTACAGAGTGAGTCACGGGGTGCACACGGTGCCGACGCCTGATCCGGTACAGCAGGTGAGGGGCCGAGGCCACGTGCTCCTTGGTGAAGTCCCACGGCATTCACACGCCAGCTCCCAATGGTGCCCTCCCTCTGGGTACAACTCTCTCATCAGAGAACAGAGTGTGGGGGCAGGACAAGAGGCGTTTGTCCCATAAGCAACTGACAGGAGAAGGTGAGCAGGGAGTGGTGACCACTGTGACTAGTGAGCCCATGAATGCACCTGAGGGTCCCCCACCCGGGGCTGAAAGACTCGGGTGGGACCAGGCCATGGGGGCAGTGGAGCAGGAGCTCCACCACCCAGAGCTGAGTGCGCAGTTGGATTATTTTATAAGAAGACAATGCTGGGATTTGTCCTAAAGAGGAAGAAGAAAGAGCTGCAGAAACACCTGGGCCAGCAGGTGCATGGCGGATAAGGTGCTGGACTCCCACGTGGCCAACCGCAGATTGAGTTCCAGACCTGGTGGCTTGAAAATCATTCTGGGCAGGGGCCAGCAGATGGCGTAGCCATTATGTCACTGGACTCCCACAAGGCTGACAGTGGTTCGAATCCCGGACTCAGTGACTTTAAACTCATGCCAGGCACATGTACGTGTGTGCCCGTTATCCCAGGAGGAGAATGGAGAAGGGATTGCGGCGTGGCCATCCCCTCTGGCAGGCTCTCGCTCTCTCTCACTCTCTCTCTCGGCACACACACCCTAAGATAAAAACCTTTATTATTTTTTAAAAAAAAAAGAATGAAAAGAAGACCACACCGTCATGTGCACATGTGTGCCCAACGCCCAAGAGGAGAATGGAAAAGAAAGGACTGCAGGGCGGCCTTCGCACCCGCCTGAAGGGGTGATTTCTCTCTCTGTCTCTCTCAAGTGAGCACAGAAGTCCTATGGCAAAAATAAACATACAGAAACAAGAATGCACAGAGTTTAACTGTGAAGGTATTTATTGTAGCTTTCTCTGTGAGACTGAAGACTGAGATTCCTTAGTACGTGGGTGAGCTAAGACAGCGTGCGGGACACACAGCAGCATGCGGGACGTACTTTGGGACACGTAGCAGCATGCGGGACGTGCTTCGGGACACACAGCAGCATGCAGGACGTGCTCCGGGACACGCAGCAGCATGCAGGACGTGCTCCGGGACACGCAGCAGCATGCAGGACGTGCTCCGGGACACACACAACGTAGCCAGTAAAAACATGGTCGGGGAGGTTGTTTCCATCCCGAGGATGCTTGCCCTGGATAGCTGGAGGAGACAGGAGCTATGAAACAGGATACAAAATAACCCGTGTCGTAAGGCCCTACTGAGTTTCCTATAATCCCAAGAATTTCTTATGAATAAAATAAATAAATAAAAGGGTTTAAAGTCAATCAGCAAGGGCACTTTCTACTTCTAGATGACTTATCTGGCGAAATTGCCACCATACCCTCGGGACCGTTATCAGATACATTCTATACCTGGGCGCACCTGACCCAGTCATGAACGCACACTCTCGGGTGTGGCTACACCTCCTTGCCGTGGCTCTTACTGTCGGGAGCACGTTGCCTCGTAAATTGAAGACTGTGGTTTTCACTTTTTTTAGGGAGGTTTTTGCTATAGGGCGCGCGCGCTCGCCAAAGAGACATAGAGACAGAAAGCGAGAAATCACCCCCCAGTGAGGATTACCACGCCGCAGTCCCTTCTCCTCCATTCTGCTCTCGGGATTTTGGCCATGCACACACATGTACCCAGCGTGAGTCTTAAGCTCCCGGGTCTGGGACTCGAAATATGGTCAACTACATGGGAGTCCAGTGACGTAACCATCACACCATCTACTGGTCCCCAGTTTTCACCTTTAAAAACTATATTTTTGGGTCAGAGGGTGCATGTTCCTGCCAGAGAGAAAGAGAGTGAGCAGAGAGTGGGAGAAAGTCTTCTGATGGGGTGCGGCCACGCCACGATCCCTTCCCCATTCCTCCTCACCATCAGGATTCTGGGCACACAAACACCCCTGGCATGGTTTTCAAGCTACCAGGGCCAGGATTTGAACTGCCATTGGCCATGTAGACTCTGGCTTCCCCAACCACTAGGCCACAGCGCTGGTCCCAAAGCCAGGGTTTTTAGTGGATAGCAGAGCTAGCGGGGCCTGGCCCTCCCTCTCCTACCTGACGTCTCCGTTGCTCTCAGGTGGACTGAGGACCACTGTGGGCTAAACTGGGACCTGCGAACCGCATGGCACACTGGAGGAGGTGGGCCTTTACGTCAGCCTGACTGGTGTCCACACAGGCGAGAAGAGAGGTGAGGACAGGCCGATGTTGGAGAGGTCTGGCCACGAGCCAGGGGTGCCAGGATTGGCAGCAACCAGGGGGGCGGAGGTGGCAAGAAGACAGCCCTGGGACCTCCCAGGAGCACGGCCCTGCCCCCCCGATGTCTCTTCGGCCCTTTGCACAGCACAGTAAGAAGCCACGCCGGATTTTGCCCATGCCCTGGGCTTTGCGGAGAGGCTTGGAGGGCCCTGTGTGCCTGAATCCAGACCCCAAGGAGTCCTGTCATGGTACAGAAACGGCCTCGGTGACCTTGAGCCGAGCGGCTGTGCCGTGAGCCCACACGAAGAAGTCTGCACATCCAAGCAACGTCACATCTGGAGCCCTTGGGGATGAGTTTCGGGAGCTTTGGGCATCACTGGCAACCTGCACTGATGGCACCTGGCCCCGCTAGGCTCAGCAGGTGCCTTCGGGAAGCCTCTCACCAGGAGCAGGACAAGAAGTGGTGTGAATCCTCCACCCCTGCAGGAGCAGGGCCCTCAGACCATTTCAGGAAGAAACAGAAAGAGCCCTTGGAGAGGTGGCAGGGCCAGGGAGCGCACAAGGGGTGCCGAGGCAGCAAGGGACGGCAGCCCCTCCCTGGGCCTGAGGGGCCAGGGGCGCCCGGAGAGGTCACCCTGAGAGGGAGGGGGGCACAGCCATACAGAGACAGCGAGCTGAGCAAAGTGGGGGCAGGACTGGCGCCCCAGCCCCCGCCTGCTCTCGCCCTCCTCCCACGGGCACCTCCACTGGCCACACCCACCTGCAGTCAGCCGGCAGGGGTTCAGAGAGGCAGAGCAGATGGACAGGGACCAACACAGGTGCAGAGGGCCTCTGGGGACCCTATCCTTAGACAACTCAACCAAGGGACAAGTCGTGGCATCCCCAGCGACCCAGAGGAGGCAGAGGAAGCGAGAGCCAGAGGGGATCCTTGTAATGCAGCTTGCCTCTTCAGTGCACAGGGTAAGCCGGCTGGAAAGCTAGCCTCGGGAGGGCATGAGGGCAGCCGGTGGGCATCCAGACGAGAAGCTCGAACAGAAGCAGCCTGTGGAATTGACACGCTCTGCCCCTGGCAGCTGCGAGGCAGCCGGCTTTACGCCGAAAGGCAGGGGGTCCTCCTGCCCCTCCGCTTTCCTGTCTCCTCTTCCTTGTAGGGCGCCCCAGACCCAGGGAGTGAGAGAACACAGGCCCGGGTGACCTGTGCCCAGAGGAGCCAGGCCAAAGTCCTTTCTGCTTTCTTCCGTCTTTTCTTCACTTTTTTAAAAATTGTGGTAAGATTAACATAAAACAAAATTTACAACTTTAATTATTATTTCTTTAATGGCAGGAGGTGCATATGTGTGCATGAGAGAAAAAGAAAGGGTTCTGCTGACGGCCCCAGGCAAGGTGTGGTCCCTTCTCCTCAGATTTTCCCTCTTGTCTGGAACCTGGGCAACCACATGCAAGCCGGCATAGTCCTCAAGCCACCAGGGCAGGGACCGGAACCGGGCTTCCTCCGTGTGGGGCTGGCCTGCTGCTACGGGGCCAGCCCGACTGCAGCCACGTGTAAGGGAACAGTTCTGAGGGCTGAGCACACTCAGTGCACAGCCACCCCACCACCGTCTCCGGCCTTCTGAAACTGAAGCTGTCTCCACTCAACGAGAACGCCCCATCTCTCCTCCCCAGCCTGGGCACCCACATGGTGCTTTCTGTTCTCTGAATCTGACCATCGAGGGGCCTCAAAGACATGGAATCAGGGAACCAGCAGTTAGCGTAATGGCTATGTCGCTGGACTTCCACGTGGTTGACTGCGGTTCGTGTCCCGGACCCGGTGGCTTAAAACTCACGCCGGGCGTGTGTGCGTGCGTGCTCAAGATCCCGAGAGGAGAATGGAGGAGAAGGGATTGCGGCGTGACCATCCCCCCTGGGGGGTGATTTCTCGCTTTCTGTCTCTCTGTCTGTCTCTGTCTGTCTGGCGAGCGCACGCGCCCTATAGCAAAAACCTCTCCAAAAAAAAAAAAAAAAGACATGGAATCAGACTCACGTGTGCTTTTGTGACTGATCTATTTTACTGAGCACCGTGCCCGCCAGGGTCATCCGTGTTGTAAGACGTGCCAGGATTTCCTTCCTTTTTCAGGCTAAGTGCCTATTTTGCATGGAGGCCACACTTCCTTTATCTGTTCTGCCCACGTCCCCCTGGGCGGCCCGCTCCTGGCCCGTGTGGATAAAGAGCTGTGAACGTACCTGTATGAACCCTGTCAAGACCCGACTTGAGCTCTCAGGAACATGTCGCGCTGGAATTGGAGGGCTATACGGTCATTCTGTTTCTGGTTTCTGAGGGACTGCTGTTTCTCACAGTAGCTGCACCATCTACATAGCCATCAGCAACGCACAGGAATTTCTGTTTACGCTTTCTTTTTAATTGCTGAAAGGTGTGTGTGCCCACCTGAAAGAGACGGAGCGCCTCCCTGGGACGTGCTCACGTTACAGCCCCTTTCCCTCCGTTTCTCTGTCCCGTTAGGGTCTGGGACACCTGCCGTGCTCTTCAAGCTGCTCGAGCCAGGATTCGAACCGTAGGCAGCCATGTGGGGTCTAGCTCTCCGTGCATATCACGGCAGTGCTACATGGCCAGCCCAGGGGTTTCATTCCCCGTCCCCTCATTATCACTTACGTTCTGTTTCGTTTTGCTTCTTACATGTGCCCGCCCCAATGGGAGTGGAGTGCTAACTCACCGTGGTTCAGAGCTGCCCCTTGACTGCGATGTGGGACATTTTTCACGTGCTTTTTGGCCATTTGTATATCTCTTTGCTTCTTCCATCTTTCATGCATTTTTCTTTCTTCTTTTTTTTTTCCATCTTTTTTTTGAGAAGTTTTTGCTATAGGGCACGTGTACTCACCAGAAAGACAGAGAGAGACAAAGAGACAGAAAGCGAGCTGTGAACGTACCTGTATGAACCCTGTCAAGACCCGACTTGAGCTCTCAGGAACATGTCGCGCTGGAATTGGAGGGCTATACGGTCATTCTGTTTCTGGTTTCTGAGGGACTGCTGTTTCTCACAGTAGCTGCACCATCTACATAGCCATCAGCAACGCACAGGAATTTCTGTTTACGCTTTCTTTTTAATTGCTGAAAGGTGTGTGTGCCCACCTGAAAGAGACGGAGCGCCTCCCTGGGACGTGCTCACGTTACAGCCCCTTTCCCTCCGTTTCTCTGTCCCGTTAGGGTCTGGGACACCTGCCGTGCTCTTCAAGCTGCTCGAGCCAGGATTCGAACCGTAGGCAGCCATGTGGGGTCTAGCTCTCCGTGCATATCACGGCAGTGCTACATGGCCAGCCCAGGGGTTTCATTCCCCGTCCCCTCATTATCACTTACGTTCTGTTTCGTTTTGCTTCTTACATGTGCCCGCCCCAATGGGAGTGGAGTGCTAACTCACCGTGGTTCAGAGCTGCCCCTTGACTGCGATGTGGGACATTTTTCACGTGCTTTTTGGCCATTTGTATATCTCTTTGCTTCTTCCATCTTTCATGCATTTTTCTTTCTTCTTTTTTTTTTCCATCTTTTTTTTGAGAAGTTTTTGCTATAGGGCACGTGTACTCACCAGAAAGACAGAGAGAGACAAAGAGACAGAAAGCGAAAAATCCCCCCCTGGGGGGTGGCCACACCACAGTCCCTTCTCCTCCATTCTCCTCTCGGGATCTTGGGCACGCACGCACGCACACGTGCCCAGTGTGAGTTTAAGCCACCGGGTCTGGGACTCGAACCGCAGTCGACTACGTGGGAGTCCAGAGACATAGCCATTATGCCAACTGCTGGTCCCCATGCATTTTTCTAATTAGTGTAATAACCATACACATTCGTGGGGGTAGAATGTGATTTTTACAGTATAAAAATAGAATGTGTAAGGATTCATTCAGGATAATTAGCATGCCCACCATTGCAACAATTTGTCATCACTTGTGCTGGGAACATCGAAACCCTCCCCGTAGTTCCTCTGAGATACACTCAGATCCACTCCCTCCTTGCTCAGTCTATTAATATATTCTCCCGCTGTATCTGATCAAATTAGAAACTGTTCCTCCAACCTATCTGCAATTTTATTCCCATTAGTCAACACCCTCTGTTCCCGCACACCCACCGCACAGGTGGCATTGTTGCAATCTGTGAAGGCCAGACTCCTGGTGTCCAGCCACCTTCCAGCCATCGCACACCTGCTGTCCCTCAGCACCTGGGACTCCCAGCCCAGCAAGCGCTGCACTCTCCCCTGCCCCCTCTGTCCCACGCCCTGCTGCACTTCTCAGGACCACTCATGGCCGTCTTCCCAGACCCCAGCCGGGAGGCTCAACCCCCCTTCCGCCTCCCTGAAGACTCTCAGGCCCCTTCCCACAGTCCACAGTCCCTGACTGGGCCGCCCCTACCCCAGGCAGTTCCCCTCCTCCTCAGCAACTAGCTGCCACCGCAGCCCACTTTAGCCCTTAGGGTCTGCCCGTCCCCCCACCTTGGCCAGCCGAGCTGCAAAGCAGAAGGTGGCGTTTCCACTTTCCTTCTGTCGTTCCTCCCCAACAAGGGCACACATGAACACCGCTTTTCTTATTTTAAAGGGTTTTCTTTTCTTTTTCTTTCTTTCTTTCTTTCTTTTTTTGGAAAGGTTTTCACTATAGGGTATGTGCGCTCACCAGACAGACAGAGAGAGACAGAGAGACAGAAAGCGAGAAATCACCCCCCAGGGGGGATGGTCACACCGCAATCCCTTCTCCATTCTCCTCTCGGGATCTTGGGCACGCATGCACACGCGCTTGGCGTGAGTTCTAAGCCACCGGGTCCAGGTCGCAAACCACGTTCGACTACGTGGGAGTCCAGCGACATAGCCATTACGCTAACTGCTGGTTCCCTCATTTTAAAGGGTTTTCTGCCAGTACCTAGAGCGGAACTGATGCGGGATTAATGAGACCAGCACATCAGGCCAGGGCAGACACGAACATCCGGAACAGCCCTTGCTCACAGAGACCTGGCTTCCAACCCCTGCTCTGCGATCACTTTTTGTGCCCACTCGGAGTGAACTACTGAGCTCCGCACTCAGCCTCCCCGCTGCTAGAGCACCCCTGTGCTTCAGGTGCTCCTGGGGACCACGTAGTGCAGGTGACACTGGGTCTTTCTTTTCCGGAAGGAAACAAAGGAAGATGCAGCTGAGGCCTGAGGAGGCACGCACACAGCAGGCCTCGACCCTCAGGCCTCCCGACTGACTCCTCCTTCTGCCCATTTCCACTCCACTCCACTCCACCCGCAGGAACTGTCTCTCTCACGCTCCAAATGCCCAAAGTCCAAGATGGGCGTCATCGGGACCATGTCCCCTCTCCCCTCCGGGAGAGTCCTTCCTTGGTCCTTCTGGCTTCCGGTGGCTCCTGGAGACTTGGGTGTTCCTTGTGCAGACCCACCAGCCCGCCCTCTGCTCCCGTCCTCACCTGGCACTCACCTCTGATGTGTCTGTCTCTGTGTCTCTGTCCCTACTCTCAGAAGGCCCCCATCACAGGGGTGAAGGACCCACCAGCCCGCCCTCTGCTCCTGGCCTCTCATCTCCGGACATGTCTGTCTCTGTGTCTCTGTCCCTACTCTCAGAGGGCCCCCATCACAGTGGGTGAAGGACCCCCCACTCTAGATGAGTTAACCTTTGCTAATTACTTCTGCTAAGACCCTTTTACCAAATAAGCTTGCACTCAAGAGTTTCCAGAAGGACATGGATTGGAAAGGACATGAGCCCAGTCCCTCTTTGCCACTGCCATCTACTGTCCTTGAGCCACCGCCTTCAATCCCTGAGGACTGGAGCACCTACGCACCAGTCACCTCCATATCCCAAACCTGCCATCAACCTACACACCTTTGTCCCATGTAAGCATGACTCATCTCAAACTCGCCTCTGGTCCCCTGCCCTCCTTGGCCCTGGTGACTTGCTCCACACCACTCTGGTCACCCAATCCTAGGGCCACTCTCTGGACTTTGTTATCATCTGTTGCTGCTCTCCCACAGAAAACAGGTGCCTATACAACTTCCTGTTGGGTCAGACTGTCTCCCTCCAGACGGCCCATCCGGAACAACCCACAGGTGCTTGGGCTCTAGGAATGGACAGAGGCCCTGCCCTCTGGACCTGGACCCAGAACTCTCTGGACACCAGTTCTTCGTCCCAGCAGCCCCTCTTCCTATTGGCATCTTCCTGCTTCTATGGCCCTCTCGCCTGACCGGAGCAGAACCGCTAACCGCTGTCACCATCCCGCACTCCTCTGTCCGTCGTCAAGGCAGTGCTTGTCTCTAGTGAAGTGGTATGACTTGTGTATGACCAGGAGGAAGACCATTCTCACGCTCCCGAATGGCTCCTTTTCTCCCCAGCCTGGAGAGTCGCGCTGAATAGTCACACCACCCTGCGGCCTGGGCCCCCCCCCCAAGACAGTCGGAAACCTCCACCAGGCCCTTGACTCTGAAAGACCCACTGCGCTCCGCCCTCACCAGCTCCGGACTGCAGGGCGGGGCGCCCTTCCTCAGTCAAGGAGGTGCTGCCCAGGAATCTCAGCGCCCTGCTGAGGCTCTGTCCCAGACTCCTCCCCGCCTCCAACCAGCTCCTCAGGGAGCCCCTCAAGCACCTGCACGCAGTCCCTCTCTCAAGCTGTCCTTCTCCTGGCATCTCCATCAGCACTTACGTTTGCTCACGTCGCTCCCGTTTTTAAAACAACACAATTCCCCCATCACTTCTCCCTCTAGGTTCCACCATTTTCATGCCCAACCCCCTTAAGACTTGTCTACACCGGCTATGTCTTTGCCTTTGTCTCCTCGTCTCCCAGCAGCCTGACTCCGCCTCTGTGACCCAGAGATGCTCACTGGGTTTTCGCGAGTCCAAGCCTGGGTCTTCGCGAGTCCAAGCCTGGGTCTTCACCGCCAGGACCGCTGCTGCGTCTTTCTCTCCTGAAGCACACTTCCCTGGATTTCCTGACCACGTGCCTTCTTCCTGTCATTCTGGCCCTTCCACCCAGGGCCGTTCATGCCTCCTTCCCTCTTCTCTACGCCCAGTCTGGATGGACTGATTCCTCACCCTCCACTCCAGTGCTCCAGTGGCCGTTCGCAGTGGTCTCTGTTCACCAACGACTTTCGCTCCTCTGCCAGTCATGAGCCTCTACCGCCTTTCCAGTGACGGGTGCAGGAATGGGAACTGAACCTGATCAACTGAACCTACAGAGGTGGTCCTGGCTCTTCCTGTCTCAGATTCTGGGGGTGTGCCCACTGTTGGCTATGGAAGCTGACTGTCCCCAGAACTGCAGTGTACAGCTGAGCACTAGAACTGGGAAAGCGAGGGAGTTGAAGCCCATAGGATAAACGTGGGCCTACTGGTGACAGAAGACAGAGCACTAACACATTTTTCTTTCTTTCTTTCCCCTAAAGAACTAGCAATTCTATTCCTACTAACTCCACCCAAGAGAAATAAAAACATATGAGCATATGTCCATATAGAACTTGTGCCCAAATGTTTACAGAAACATTATTCGCAATAGTAAAAAAATGTAAACAACTCAAATATCCATCAGCTAGTGAAAGGTAAACAAAATGCTTACCTAGCTGTTGAAACATGATCTGATGTAAAAAGTGGCTTCCTCACTTCACTTCATGTGAAGTATGATCCTATTTCTGTTTTTTAAACACACACACATTTATGTAAGGGGAAAAAAATCTGAAAATACATATCCCAAAACATTAACAGTGGTTGAGGCCAGCAGGTGACACGGAGGTTAAGGCAGCCAGATCTCACATGGCCAAGTGCATGGTTTGAGTCCTGGATCCAGCAGCTTGAGAAAGATGCCAGGCACCCGTGCGTGTGCCCAAAATCGCAAGAAGAAAATGGAAGAGAAGGGATAATGGCATGGCCATCCCCGCTGGCCGGGGGGCATTTCTCACTTTCTCTCTTCCATGAGCGCATACACCCTATAGCAAAAAAAAAAAAAAAAGTTACCAGTGATTATCTCTAGGGAGTGGGAGTACATTTGATTTTTCAAACACTTCTTCCTATTGACTATTTTACAGTGAGCATATGAGACTTTTATGTTTAGAAATCATGAGCTTGGTCAGCTACTTAGTTTTTAAGGGTACTTATTATAAATGTCTATTAACTTTCTAATAAAAGTAGTAGAAATACAGACAAGTAGATGGCCCACTATGCAACATCTCAAAGCACCTAACCCTCCCACAATCTCATGATTCTCCTGTATCCAGAGGAGCCACAGAGTCAGTGCCCTATCTGCCAGCCTGCCCAGTGCAGTATCAAGGCCACCACTCCAGGTGTTACCTGGTGACCTAGGGAGAAGCATGACACCGTGTCTAGTTCCCAAGCAATAGAACACTTCCCGGGAGTAATAAGTAGCACATGCGTAACGATGACGTGAAGTGATGTAATTAAGAACTGAGTGGTGCTCTCTCGAGCACGTTTCCCCAAGAACTTCCCACAGTGTGACTGACCGGAGCCCAAGACAATGCCCCATTATTTCCAACACAGAGCCCCCATTTCATAGGGAAAGTAAACCAGTAACCGCTTCACTACAGGATGACTGAATTTCAAACCCTTAAAATATTTGAATATAGCTTTTGGTATCAAGGCTGCAATCCCAAGAGAGTAAATTCAAATCTTCCATTGTTTACTAGATCGATTTCATTCCTGGGATGACTCCAAAGTATTTGGCACAGCGACAAACTCTACCTAAGGCTAGAAGGCTTGCTAGCTTAAGCCCTCAGTGGGGAAGCCCACACCACCAGCCCACAGGCCTCCCTCTCTCCATCGTGCCTGGAGGACACCTTGGTCTCTGTGTGCAGAACCCCGCAGAATCACAGGGCTCTCTATAGCTCTGGGCGTCCTGTGGCTCACAGTGTCACAGTGCAGATGGGAATAGGGAACACAGCCCCCAAGAGGCTAAGTATGTCACCATTGGTGTGGGGACATAGGAAAAGGTAACAGTGTGAATCATTCTTAACATACCTAAAGGGATTCGTAGCCCTTTCCACTCGGGTGACAGGCAACACATAAATCCATAAGCCGCTGTTAGAAAGTATTATAATGAAAGAAACTGTCAGGGCAGCATGCATGCCCAGGCAGAATGGCAGAAGAAAGATAAAGAAACTCCAACACAGCTCAGACCCTGGGGAACCGATACATGATGATGCAGAGTCCTGCCCAGAGCAGCTCCATTGGTCTGCAGAGAGCTCTCGCCTTTGGCTGCCGCATCTCACAGGCCGCAGCCCAGACTGGAAGCTGACATCCTACTGCAAGACCTCTTGCGTGTGCCGCTGTTCACAGTGAGTTCGTGACAAGCCTACATCTCAGGGCTTGCTGAATGTGGCCACACCCTGGTGAGGTTGACAGCTTCATTTATCCCTATCACTGCTTCCCCAGCACGTGCAGGGGACTCGAAGCTGCTGGCAGGGTTGGGGAGACACGGGGCAGCTTCTGATAACTGAAAAAGGAGTCACTCTCAGTAACACAGCATCTGGTCATGTAGAAGTGTCACCATTCATTCCATTGGTTTCCCATGTTGAGAGTTGGGGAGCTTTTATTACAAATAAATCTTCAAAGTTACTGGGATGAGGTACATAGGTAACATTGATGTACCTATGCTTTTACATACACATACATGTGCATGTATCACCTTCACACACAGCCTGGGAGTGGACAATGGTCAAGCCCCAAATTACAATATTCCTTTTGGAGGAAAGTGCGATGTCCCGGGAACAAGCACGTGGCGGGTACAGGGCTCCAGACTACGCAGGTGGAGTGGGAAAGCCTGGATCTGCCGACGCGGCCCAGATGAGCCCAGACCGCCCACTCCCGTGAAATGAGGACCAAATTCGTCGGCACTTCCCCCAGAACTCGGCGACAAGGATGCCACAGGCAGATTTTCTTTTTTCAGATCTTCTCGCATTAGACTTTTACGCAGAAGATGCCGCGCACACTGGCATGTCGTGTCGCCCCGCGGCAGGGGTGACTCCGAGCGGTGTCGCAGCGCCGGCCCCCGCGGGGGCGGGAAGGGCACGTCCCCGACCGCCACCTCGCGCGACGACCCAGCGCCCGCACTCGGCCCCTCCCCGAGCGCCTGCCGGCCCCGGACGGGGGC